ATGCAATTTAAGATGTGCAAATAGAAGTTAATTATACATTATATTTATGAAGAATAAAATAAATCTTACAATTCTGCTATGGATGATATCTGATACAGTTATTCTTATTTTGTTTGTAGTAGAATGGCTTATGTAGTTGTTTGTTTTGCCGACAACTCCGTGTCAGAAGTGCCGACAAATTGGTTATATGAATATGAAGGGGATACTATGTGCTGGTGGCCGCCACCTTCTATAAAAAATACATCAATGTTGATCTCAAAATGTGTGGATCCTGACAAGAAATCATGGAACTTAATGTCAGTGACAGTGCAAAAATACTTTGGTAAGAAAAACCTTAGCTTGTTAATATATGTGTGGTGTATGTGGATACTATTTCTGTTTTTTTTCCTTTTATAGTCTCATTAGAGAAAGCGAGAGACGCTGCAGCTAATGATAATTATATATCAACGGATGATCAATGCTTGGGTAAAGGTCATCGTAAAAAGATATCCAATACCTTGATTCATTCAGATGCAGATGAAGAAAGAAACCATGATAAAAAGAGTTATAGGACCTCTAAGAATAACCCAAAAGTTTACAATAGAAAGACAGTAAATGTATCTATTCAAGATGAACAATCTGATGACTTTATTGAGAATGAACAGAGTATAGATAACGTTCTTCCTGTATGGCCAGCAGATATGCAAAGTTCTACAAATAATGACAATACGGTTAATTTTGTTACAAATGTTTATCAAAAGAATAGTAAGTTTCCATTAATTTATAAATAAATTCTAAACACAATATAACACACGTACAAATATATTTTGTTCTGAACTTTTTATTTTAGTGAAGCAAAAAAAGAGCTGTGATTTATCGCGACAAAACTCTCAAATGTCAGAATCTAACAGTACAAGTATAAATGAGTGTGAAGATCCATTGAATACGAACAACATAGGAGAAAAAGCTGATTTAAATACACAACAGAGAATTGAGGGTAACGTTATTTTTCTTTTTATTGTAAAGAGTGAATAAAGTAGCACTTTTCTTTGTACTTTATCCGAAATGTATCTCTTTCTACTTATAATAATATTAGCATTATTTAATTTCAGCAAAGGTTGATACTTTATTGAGGACTACAGCAGAAATACATCTCAAATTAGATGATGTTTCAGCACAATTGGCGAATACGCTTATTCGTAAGAATCAAAATCATCTTAATACAGAAACTATTAGGACGTCCCTACCATTAAAATGTATCGACGATATTAAAAAACTCGAGGCGCAGTTAAAAACCGATAAAACTTTATATAATGAATATGTAGGTACATCATAAATATAGCTAAATTGCATTAGCATATATACTACAATTGTTTTATTTCAGAAAACTTTTATACAAAAAGTCGGAGGCCATTCGCCGAGGGAACACGTTAGAAATATTTTAGCCAAAGTTTTCTGTAACGAATGTGCAATAAAATGCTCATGGAAAGGACGCAGACAAAATTTCGCTGTTTCGAAATTATTGCTGATTACAGTAATGAAGGGTATGCTAATTGAATATATAAATATTTTTTTTT